TCTCAAATAAATAAATAAAATCTTTAAAAAAAAAAAAAAGGGGTTCATTATGACTGGAACTTAGAATGCAAGGACCCAGAAATAGGTGGGAGATGAGTCTAGAAAGATCACCAGGGACGAGATCTTGAGGAAATTTGAATACCATTGAAGGATTTCAGCAGAGCAGTTACGTAGATTTGTGTTTGTTCTAGAGGTTTGCTCCAGGTGCAGACTGCATGCTCTGCCATTCCTGCATCCCCGTGCCTGGCACAGGGCCAAACATATATAAGGGCTAAATAGATATTTTGGAGAAAAGAAAGAATAAAAGTAATTATTAGTTAAGAAATGGATTAGAGGGAGGTACAGCTGGATATAGAAAAACCTCTCAGGAGCTCCTCTTTGTTGCCGAGACCCAAGCCCGATTTCCCAGGCACCTTTTAAGGCTGGGGCCCAGGTTCAGCAGCAGTGGGTTCTGACCAGTCCAGAAGGGTTTGGGCCTCTAAACTCTCACCGCTGGCCTTCTGGGAGTTTTGTGGGTCCTCTCACCCCACCCCTTTTTTCTGGTTTGTTTTTACGGCATATAATAAAAGGATTAGTAAGGAACCAAAAAGGTGATTCTCTATCCTATGTCCAAGCTGATCACATACAGAAAAAGGCTATAGTGACCTTTAGTGTAAAATTTTGGCCTTTGTCAACTAACACCTAACCGTCATCTCCAGCCCCTGTTATTTTATACCAGTTCTCTCAGATTTACCCCAAATGTTGGAAAGTGTAGTCTATGAATCAAATACTGGTTAGCAGACTGTGGAGTCTCTTAGTTAGGTGCAGGGGTTTTGAGGGTTTAAGAGTAGGGTTTTGGATATTTGTCTATAGGGATTTTTTCTTTTGAGGTAGTAGCAAGCAGGCCAGAGAGGAGGTAAAGTAGGGAAGAAAAGCTGGTTTAAAAACCCTGAAGATATTGAAAGCTATGAGACTACTGCAATGCTGCCATGAGGGGGCACATGAAAGAGGAGGCATGCAAGCATGGATTTTAGGTGAAAATCACATTTTTCAGTATATTAGCACTTACTTAGCCAAATTGCAAAGGAAAACTCAACAAATTGTGGCTTCTTTTTTTTTTTTAAGATTTATTTATTTGACAGAGAGAGACAGTGAGAGAGGGAACACAAGCAGGGGGAGTGGGAGAGGGAGAAGCAGGCTTCCCGCGGAGCGGGGAGCCCGATGTGGGGCTCGATCCCAGGACCCTGGGATCATGACCTGAGCTGAAGGCAGACGCTTAATGACTGAGCCACCCAGGCGCCCCTTATGAAGAAGAAGAAATCAACAGTCGCAGCAGAAGTAGAGCAAATAAATGGTAGAAATTGTTGGAAGTTGAACTTCACCTCTTTGTGACAGTGGCATGAGAACATAGGGTGTGTTTAGCAAAAATCACAAGCATTCAGAATAAACTGGTGGGTACACAGGAAGGATTTAATGATGTTAGTGAGTGTAACTGGAAAATCCTTTCTTATTTGGTGGAGGCTTATTAATACCTATGACATTTCCACTAATCATAATCAAATCTAAGTAGACTTTAGTATTTCATGTTTCGGACATGGTGTAAAGAGTTTATATTTATTCAGAGTTATATCTGACCTGATTCTGTTCTTTGCACTTAGCCATGTACCTTTTTTTTCCTGCATATCAAGGCATGACACACCTTTCTACACATGTGTTATGGTCACAAGTGTAGAAAATAGTTGGTGCCTGAGATGGATAATGATCTTATGGTTAGTCATTCTGACAACTCCTTTAAAGTTAAATTTTTGAGCAATTAGCTACCTCAAACAGAACAACAAAAACAAAAAAGGACTTTTAAAGTATTTTATCACCTTTTCAGCTCAAACAGTAGTGCTGGAAAATGATACCCAGCTTTCACGTGCTTCTGGCAAAGATGTCCGAAGTCAGCCGTGTCTGGGAACTGAAATTCGGAAGTGACTTCTTTATCAAAGATCAGGATGAATTGTATGCTGGTGAATGAGTCAAAGCCAGTTAGGAGAGCTGCCTGTTTTTATCAATAAGAAGCTTTGCTGATATAGTAACGGTGAACATCTCCTTTTGACACTGATGTATGGGCCAGGGCTTATCATGTTAGAAAATAGATGGGTGGTTTGATTTGTTCTGTGGCCTGATGCTAGAATCCTTATGGTAAAGAAGAACATGCTCTGTAACTGTTAATTATCCAAATATTACGGGCCTTGTAAAGCTTGATTATTGTGAATAATTCCCGTTTTTAGCAAGTTTGCTATTACATGTTTCATATCTCATGCAAAAATACTCCTGGAAGTGTGTTATTTTTAATTAATAACTGTAAGTATTTGATTTGCTGTTGCTGAGGAAGTGCTTTTTCTCAGTATAAGCAGTTAATCATTTGTTTTCCATGACAGCTAAGAACCATAATTTCATCTAATATAAGGACACTTTTCACATTTTAACATGTCTGAAATCAAGATATGTTTTATATAGGATGGCATCATAGATTCAATAAAATATGGTATTCTTGATTCAACTAAGTAAACCTCAGGGACACTAAAGTAGTATAATAAATATAAATGCAGTGTAATACTATTTCAGAGCCGTAAGTAAGTTGGTACTGTGGTCTTAATACTTTAAAAAGTATTAAGTATTTTATTTATAATACTTTATTAAAGTATTTTACTTTGAAATACTTTAAAAGGCAATACTTTAAAACTTTCAATATTCAGGGGTGCCTGGGTGCCTCAGTGGCTAAGCGTCTGCCTTCGGCTCAGGTCATGATCCCAGGGTCCTGGGATCCAGCCCCACCTTGGGCTCCCTGCCCGGTGGGAAGCCTGCTTCTCCCTCTCCCAATCCCCCTGCTTGTATTCCCTCTCTCACTGTGTCTCTGTCAAATTAAAAAAAAAAAAAGATAAAACTTTAAATATTCATACATTTTTTACCCAGAAACTCCACTTCTAGGAATTTATTTTATACAAATACCTACGTATGTGCACAAAGATATATATGCAAATATCATTGTTGTAATATCATTCATAATAAAACAATGGTTAAATAGTTTGTAACAGATCCACACAATGGAACTGTATGAAAGTTGATTTTCAAATTCTGTGAAGGCTCATAGAAAAGCAATGAGGTAGATTTTTTTGTGCAGATATGGAGAGATGTACTGTGTGTGTGTGTATATATCTATATATATATTTTAAGATTTATTCATTTTAGAGAGAGAAGTGGGATTAGTTCTGAGAAGAGCTGGATCTGGGGAAAATTTTCACTTCAACATTCTATGTGCTTACCTCTTTTTAATTTTTAAAGATTTTATTTATTTATTTGACAGAGAGAGAGAGCTAGCACAAGTAGGGGGAGCAGCAGAGGGAGAGGGAGAAGCAGGCTCTCCGCTGAGCAGGGAGCCCGAAGTGGGACTCGATCCCAGGCCCCTGGGATCATGACCTGAGCCGAAGGCAGATGCTTAACTGACTGAGCCACTCAAGCGCCCCTGCTTACATCTTTTTCCAATATGTATATTAATTTTTTTCCAGTTTTTTTAAATTGTGGTAAAATACAAAATACATATAATATAAAATGTATTTATATTATTTTTAAACAAAAAAAATAACAATAGGTTTTTTCCTTTCTTTTATTGAAGTATAATTGACATTACATTAGGTCAGGTGTACAACACAATGATTCGATATTGTAAAATGATCACCACAGTAAGTCCACCACCACACATAGTTACAAAAAATTTTTTTTCTTGGGGTGAGGACTCAAGATTTATTCTCTTAGGGGCACCTGGGTGGCTCAGTTGGTTAAGCATCTGATTCTTGATTTTGATTCAGGTCGTGATCTCACGGTTGTGGGATTGAGCCCTGCGTTGGGCTCTGTGCTCAGTGGGGAGTCTGCTTGAGGTTCTCTCTCTGTCCCTCTGCCCCTCTCCCTGCTCTCTCTTCCTAAATAAATAAACAAAATCTTTTAAAAAAAGATTTATTCTCTTAGCAACTTTCAGATGTACAATACAGTATTATTAACTATAGCCACCATGCTGTACATTCCATCCCCATGACTTAATTATTTTATAACTGGAAGTTTGTAAAAGAGTTTTAAAAATGATAGCCCTGGATAAATGATTTAAAGCCTTAAATCAGTTACTGTTCTTAATGATTTTTACTCTTAAGTATGGATTCTTCCAACATAATACCGGGAGCCAAATGGAACAATAACTCCCTCTGTCAGCCTAATTGAGAACTTTATTTCTCTGTCCAAATCTGATCTCTGACGTGGTAGCATTTGCTAAGGTAGCTGCCACGGATACACCCGGACCATTTTATTTCTATATTAACATGCTTCCTTGTGCCAAGGAAAGTAAATTGAGTTTATTTCAGTTCATCAAGAATTTATTGTAGGGACGCCTGGGTGGCTCAGTCGGTTAAGCGGCTGCCTTCGGCCTGGGTCATGATCCCAGGATCCTGGGATTGAGTCCCACATCAGGCTCCTTGCTCAGCAGGGAGCCTGCTTCTCCCTCTCTCTCCTTCTGCTTGTGCTCTCTCTGTCAAATAAATAAAATCTTTAAAAAAAAAAAAAAAAGAATTTATTGTAGACCTCCTATGAGTTGAGCACAATTTAGATGCTAGAGAAACACAGACAGAAATACAAGAATATGTTGTTAAACACAGGAACCCTTTATACAAGGTAGAGGCAGCATAGACAAGGGGGTGACAGGGAAAGGAGCCTGGGAACTGGGCACTGTCAAGGGCAGGCTTCGTGGAGGTGTTGAAGGATGAGTAGCTGTTTGCTATATAGATATTCCAGGCTAACGATACATTATCTGTATAGGGGAATGTGAAATGCAGATTAAATTTCATTTAAATTTAAACTAAATTAAAATTTCACTCTCCATCCCCACTAGCCCACAGCGTGGTGCCAAAATTAATGTGATATCCTAATGTTCCAGAACTTAATAGTTGCTGCCTCTACCATAATTAAAAATGTTGAAGTGGTTCGTACCTTAGAAATTGGTAAAAATGGCGTGACTACTTGATGGCTTGCAGGTAACTCTTAACTGTACTTCTCTATTTACTGACTCAACCTACCCATGCGTCTGTCTGCCTCTCAGTCTGTCCATTATCTACCTACTTGTCTATCTGTCCATCTATCTATCCATTCATCCATCCTAACAGGTAAGGGCACTTAGAGTCTGTTCTGCCCCATAGATGTACTTAAGCCCATCTATGGCACTTACGCATCATGTCTTAACCACTTCATAAAAACAAGCCAAAAATAGGAGCAGCTACTTTAAAACTGTAAAATAACATTTTTCACTTATCTCTTGGGGAAAAATGAAAAAAATGGTTCAGTGTTGTCCATAGATGTAGGGAAATGGACACTCTCATACCTTGTTGGTAGAAGTGTTACTAATGAGATTGGATCTTTTGAATATGTTTATTGACCCTTTATGTTTATTCTATAAACTACCTGTCCAATGCCTAAGCCTGTTTTATTAAGGTTAAGCTGTTCATCTTTTAAAAAATTTATTTGCAAGAATTTTTTTTAATCTTAACGGTGCTAACATTTAAATTGTACTAGAGGTATTAATGCAAGTAGACAAGAGAAATCAACTAGAGGTATAAGAATTAGAAAAGAAAAAGTATAACTGTATTTGTACTTGGTATGATGTTTATTTAGAAAACCAAGAGAGTCAATGGCAAAATTAATCTAATGAAATAATTCAGTCAGGTAGCAAGATATAAAATTAGTACAGAAATCAGTGGCCTTCATGTATGCAACCAATAACCAGTTAAAAGATACAATGGTAGAGCAAATTTCATTTACAGAAGCAATAGAAAAGATAAGACCTATTTAGGAAAAACATAAGAAATGTGTAAAGCCTTTAGGAAGTAAACTTTAAAACACCCTGAAAGATACAAAGTAGACATAATAAATGGAAAAGCATTCCTTATTCTTTGATAGGAAAATTCAGCATGACAAAGATGGCAGGACTCCCTAAATTAGTTTATAAATTTAATCCAGTCCCAGTAACACTATCAAATTTATCTGTGGAGCTAGAAAACATGTTTTTGAAATTCATTTGGGAAAATAAATATGTAAGAATAGCTAGGAAACACTGAGAAAGAAAACCTATGAAGAGTGACTATACCGACTAGATATTAAAGCATACTCTATAAAATAGTGCGGTATGGCACACAAAGTGGCAGACAGACCACTGAAATAGAATAACAGGTGCAGAAATAGACCAAAGTACCTCTGGGATTTAGTGTATAATAAAGATAGCCTTGGGGGCGCCTGGGTGGCTCAGTCGTTAAGCGTCTGCCTTCGGCTCAGGTCATGATCCCAGGGTCCTGGGATCAAGCCCCACATCGGGCTCCCCACTCGGTGGGAAGCCTGCTTCTCCCTCTCCCACTCCCCCTGCTTGTGCTCCCTCTCTTGTTGTCTCTCTCTCTGTCAAATAAATAAATAAAATCTTAAAAAAAAAAAAAGTGTTTCCTTTAAAAAAATAGTAAAATAAAATTGGGTTACTTGTTGAGTTGTAGGAATTCTTTATATATTCTGGACATTAATGCCTTATCTAGTATATGGTTTGCAAATATTTTCTCCCATTCTGTAGGTTATCTTTTCACTCTGCTGATTATTCCTTTTGTTTTGCAGAAGCTTTTTCGTTTGATGTAGTCCCACCTATTTTTGCTTTTCTTGCTTGTGCTTATAGTGTCATATCCAAGAAATTATTATCCATTCCAAGGTTATGAAGCTTTTCCTCTTATGTTTTCTTCTAAGAGTTCTATAGTTTCAGGTCTTACGTGTAGGTTTTTAATTTATTTTGAGTTAATTTTTATATATGGTGCAAGATAAGTATCCAACTTCATTCTTTTATATGTGGATATTTCAGTTTCCCTGGCAACATTTGTTGAAGAGACTGTCATTACCAATTGTGCAGTCCTGGCACCCTGGTAAAGGACCCTCTGACCGATTAAACAAGGGTTAG